AATGCAAGAAACTCTCACGTTAAAACTGCTCTTCACAGCTTAGTTCGCAATCTTCTATTCATACTTTACTGCAATTTCCAAAGAACTTTCTTGTTGGTCTACATCTTTAGAATAAGTGTAGCTGTGAAAAACAAAGTTACAATAGTACATTTTCTGCAACAGAAGGTAAGAACTTTCCACCTATGAAAGGATCCCAGCACTCAATGCATTACTTATTTTGATATAACTGACAAAAAAGGATTTAACTATGCGTCAATATCAACTACGCACGACTTTCAAAATTGACCCGCAGACCAGGAATTCATAACCAGAAGACATTCCCTGAACAGTGCAACTATTCGGATTAATTGCATTAACAGACTTAATTTGGAAGGATTTGGGAATGTTTGTACAAGGTTTAGGAAGGATTTCATTAGGATTACACGATGAGCAATTTTGAGTGTGCTTAACTGTTCACATAAACTGTCTAGGCAACCATGAAACAGATCAGTCATCCACTGCTTATTAACTCTTTTCCAAGATTTTGTCACCATGAAGGGGATGTCTTTGTAGTTCACTGCATACTTCAACCAGCCAGAAGAAAAAAAAACCTATGCCTTATCGAGAAACTGCATGCTGGTGTTGTTCTTCAAACTGTTGGATTAGAAGAACAGGTTATGCCTGCATTCTGCGTATTTCTGTTCTCTCGTGCTGCCTTCAGAGAAATGCAACTTTACTACCTGGTTTAAAATGATATTGCATTTAAATTAGTCTATATTTGCCATATAATAATATTCTTTGACAACATCTTTTTTCAAGGCTTTGTTAATTGCAAATTTAACATGTATTTAAACTGTGCATCAACATTCTAAGACTAACACATTAATCCAAGGGAGAAAATGCTCATAAAACAAACAGTTTGAGCAATTGGATGTTGGTAGCTCTGCTCTTGCATATTAACCACATCAATTTCATGTCAAATGTTCTACAACATGAACTGGCACAACAAGGCAGGGAATCGGGGCTTCTGTATAAATTCTGGAAAATGGAAATAAAAAAAGGATTGCATATTCTTCATAATTCTGGGAAACCTGAAATTTTTGAAAGAAATGTACTTTTTTCTTTTTCTAATGAGACCACAACTGCAGTAATATACCAGCTATGTCTGCAAAAATATGAGTGTCCAGTTCTGAGCATGCTGTTCTACTGTATGCTATTATCTGAATGTAAATATTGCAAATGCATAAACAAATCAAGAAATAGTACCTGAAAACACCACTGGGAAAAACAAGAGAGGCAGCCGTGCACACAGTTATAATAACAGGGGACAAATTTATGAGCATATGTAGATTTACTCAATTTCTATGTTAAAAATAGATTTTACATTTCACTGCAGGTGACTTGCCATTATTTGCTATATCAGTTATAACAGTACAGTAGAATGCTAAGATTTTATTGATGTAACAGAAGACAGGGGGTAAAAAATAGCCAAATGTTAAACTTATACTTGAATGAGATTTATATCCTTGTTTGTTCTTGAAATTTGCACATTTAATTACTTGTGGGAGAGATTATTTCTCGTGGACATTAGATTTTTGAAAGTCAAAATAAGGTGTGAACAACATTTGACAGAATTACCTGCCAAGAAATGTTATATTCTAATAAAGAACCCTGAAATAAATTTAAATGAAAGCTTTTATTTTGTAAGCAATCCATCAGCCTGTTTTTATAACTTGCACCTTACAAAATATGTTCCCTTGTAGCCTGGGAACTGTGGTGTTGAAACTGAACGGCAGCAACTGAGATTTCCTGACTCAAGAAATTACTGTTACAAGAGCAGCTAAGATTATTCTACTTGGAACGCAGTAAAACACAAACAGTTATATATTTCTGTCTTGGTTGCACTACTATGTCATTAAAAAGCTGTACCAGCAATAATTTTGCCCAACAACTGTTCTTCATTCAGCTGCTGCCATTTAGGCACTTTTACCTAAAAACATCCTGATTTAGAGTTCAGCATTGGACATTTGTTTCCAACTATAAAACTGTCAGACTGGTATCTCTTACAGCGCTATCGTCTCTCTTCCTTTTGTTGCAAATGTATTCTTAAACACTTTTCTTCAAAGCGAAGAAACTCCCAAATGTTTCTCAACCACCACCAAACACTTTAACATAAATCTCATCAACGATAGTTTGTAGGTACCTAGAATTCAACATTTAGCGGAGTAAAAGTGCTTGCAAAAGGTGAGTTATTGCAGAATCTCCAGTTAAAATTCATTGTTTACATGAATGGAAAAAGCAGGAGAGAACCTTAATAAATGGTTAGTATTGCAGCTTCCGATGCACCTGCAGAATTCGACGTGGAATTGAAAACCCAGTCTGCTGTAACACACTGCACAAACCACCTACTGAAAAATATCCAGTTATAAAATCCCTTATCATGAAAGACATTATATTTCACAGCCAAGTAACAGGAATTGTTTAAGGTGCTTACATATGAATATAGAAACCTGAGCCATGTACCAATTTCTAACTGCCTTGGAAGAACAGTAAGGCAGGACTCAAAGGCAGCAGAAAATACAGTTTGTTTCACATACCATTTTGGAACATCAGTGATTTCTGCTCTCCGAGTAGTGAGCTTAATTCTCTGGCTAGTGATTGCCTTATTTCGACTGATCACAGCAAAAAACTCACTGCGAAAAAGACCAAAGAACATGTCTGCAGCAAAGGGTAGCAAACCCTAACTTTAGTAGTGCACCCGAGTTCACAGTTTTATTTCAGCAGACAATTACTTTAACCTGATTTAGTCACTTCCTTTCAGGAAACAGAAATTATTCCTCCAGGAATAAGACACATTTTGATTGAACTCGGGTAAAAGACTGGACATGGACTGCTTATATACGGTATTATTAACGAAGAGACTTCGACCCATGCGAGCAGGCCTCAGGCGGGCGGCGTTAGGAAGAGTATCTCACGTTTTACCTTAGAGCTCGTGGAGTTTATTACGCCCATTCTTACTTCAAGTGCAGGAGCGAAAGCAGCATTTCCCTTGTGTAAACTTGGACTGGCTGCAAAAATCTATTAAATACTGACTTTTTTTAAGCCTGAAACTAACTTCCAGTTGTGCATTAAGCAAGTCTTAAAAGAAGATGCACTTGCAAACATGTTTTAGACTCCACCAGGAAGCCTGCAACAGCCAATTCGGTACCTGACGGCTTTATAAAGCCGAAAACAAACCGGTTATGCCGTGCTTTCCCTGGCGGGTCTCACAACGCAAAGCTTTTTGATTAACGCTCCCGTCCACGCCAATGCTCCTCTAAACTCAAACTGCAGCTGGCAGGAACTGGGAAAGAGAGAGGCGGCGGCTGAGGCCAGGCCCACCTCTCCGGCCTGTCCCCGAGAGGCCCCTGCACA